TCTTTCCGGAATGTGAAAGGTTCGTTAAATTCGCCAATTCTGAAGGATTACCATTCTTTTAAACACGTTACAGTTCAAATTCGATTTTCTAGAAGAATAATTCTCGTTTATTTGACTTAACAGATGAAAGGTGAACTGTAACTACGAACTTTGAAGGTCGGAATGACTGGTTAAATAATTCTTTAAGAACGTTTTTTGGGCACTCCTGAAGCTTCTTCGTTTGGTTAATCACATTCAGAATCTTGCCATAATCTATCTGAAAGATAATCCCCTTTAAATTTTAATATAACACCGAAAAAAAGAAGCTGGAAGTTTTTGATTCTCGAAGAGGGAATTCCTAATTTGGTAGTTCCCAGCTAAAGATGATGATGGACTTCGAAGATTGGGCAGAGACGACAATTTTAATGAACTGTAGCTAAAAATTTTGAAGAGCGGTATGAAAAATTCGTTGTGAATTCTCTGCAGATTCTTTTTTGACACGAGTTTTGCCCCGAAATGGCTCTTGCCACTTTCGTCGGCTAATAAGAAGTGAACTTCATTAAGAGAACAAAGAGGCGGTGGGAGAATACCCTTAAAGCTACAACTAAGAGTCTTTGCCGCATTGTGCACCAGCATATGCTAATTTGCAACTTGTAAAGGTCCAAATGAGCTCTATTAAGCAGTCACCACAAGAAATAATTACAGGATGTTCCGCAAAAAGCAACACGGGCCGCGAGAGGCCATTTGGCGCGACAAACGAGCGAATTATCCAATCATAATAACGATAAAACTGCAATAAGCGGTGTTTTTTTCTCTCTCTCTCTCTCTCTTTCTCCCTCCTCTTTTCTTTTCGACTTGTTCAGTTTGGCGCAATGGTCCCGATGGCAAAAACCCAGCCAATTCCAGCTACAAATTAACCATAGCTTCGATTCGTGCAGCGATTTATTGCATGGCACCGCAGAAGCTCATTTCGCCGCGTCGAGTCTGAATCTGCTGCCATTCGATCAGATGGCTATCGAGGCCCAGTAACGGCTCCGGGTCGAGATGGCGTCATTAGAAAAAAAAAAAAAAATAGGGCGGACCTTCATTCGTTTACCTCTAAATGGTAGAGCGGAGCGACTTTAGCTCTCCGTCAATTTTCCGCAGGGAAGAAGAGAAGAAAAAAAAAATCAATGGGCTGCTGCACTTTATTAGATTTGGGGAGAAAAGAAAGCTTGGCTTGTTTGAATACTGCGATTGACATCAGTTTGGCTCATGCACAATTCAATTTGTGTGGCCGCCATTTCTATTCCATCAGCTTTCATCCATCTAGGACGGAAGCCGTCCGGCTAATGGTATCTCGTGATTAAACCTCGCGGCTCCCTTCCCCCCACTCTGTCGTGGCACATTTCGTGAAGGGCTCGTGACATACCCGACGACTCCATACAAGAGTTATCCGAGAAGTCCAGCTAGCCTTGTCAATCTTGAGGCCCTGCTCCCAGTTATGTAGCAAATATGCGGACAGTATGTGACTACACAGGATGTGTGCCATCCAGAGAGAGAATTCCGCCACACGACAGCAAAAGTTTTCACAAAGAGAGAGATGGACAGCCTCCAACGAGATCCCCCTTTACGATAGTCTTCACCTGGTTGGGAAACTTTTGCCACTATCTCGAGGAACCATCGAAGAGTTTCCACTCTCTCGTTATTAAATCTGTAGTTGGATCGTTTTCGGTAATTCTAAACTTTGCAGGAAAGAATTTAAGAGTAAATTAAGGGTAACAAGTCGTTAATAGTATCGAAATATCTTCGTAAACTTGTAGTAAAAAAGGATAATGTAGAACCTCTCCCGAAAGGGTAAAGATTAACGGATCGCCTTTCTCAAACTCGATTAACCGTTTCTTAATTTTAATTACTCCTGAGGAACGGGTTACTCTTTCATTCTTTAATCCGTTAAAGTAGATTATAGAAGGGAGTAATTCGTAAGTGGGCTTACGAAGGATTAATTACTAGTGTGGTAACACTTCTTTGTCGAGAGAATTTCGGTGTCAGTGGACGACGCCATTGCAGCTTCGGGACCAATCACGGTCTGGTTAAAGTTTGATAAACTTCCAGGAAATGAGCGATTATCTGCAAGGTTATTATTATTTCGTTGTCTGCTTTGACAGATATATAGAATGGAACGACGGAGATGATGTGACTTTTTTCGTTCAGACAATAGTACTTGTTGCTAGATACATATATGGACTGTACACATTACATAATTTTTTCTGTTCGCCTTAAGCAGATTAATTAGAAACTTTGGATATTAAAATTGCTGTTGTTAATGCAATTATAAAGTAATTATAACTTGATATGTGTATAGAAAAGACACTGCTTCGATTTTTGTGTGAGAGCGTGTGTGGTGTAACATCTTTGGTTTAAGGGGGGAAAAACGAAGGAAACAATAGAGCCAAGAAATCAAAAGTATCAGGAGAAAGTAAAAAAGAAAGAGGAGAAATAGAGGGGGATAAAAAAAAAGAAAATCGGACAGTGAAATATAAGGGGAATGTCCCAATTCAGCGTTGCTATCTTCAAACAGCATCACAACGGTTCGGTAATGTAGTTCGTCCTTATCGGAAATAGAAACGCGCTATCGGTCCTCTGACGCACAGCAACCTCCCATGACAGCTGTGAAGAACAAATGGAGCTTAGTTAATGTGCTTATTTAACAGAGGCACTGCCGAGTTCCGTGCGTTATCGGACAGCGATAAAATCCCGCCAGTTGTGCCAGGTCGGGTGTTGATAGTCCGACATCAGCTACAAGGTCGGTTGACTCCACCTCTGCTGGCCCCTCCTCTTTCGCTCCCTTCGTCACGTGACCTGCAGGGTCAAAGGTCACGCGAGTGGCGTTTTTTCGAGGCGGAGATTAGTGACGTCGTAGCGACACCTCATTCGCTCGGAAACATCGGCGATTCGGTGGCGAAGCAGAGCTTTTAATATCCTTCGATTATAACCAAACATGGCGCTGGCACCCCGACGCCATGCGGGCCGCGAAAACGATAGAGAACTGGTTCCTAGAAGTTTTTTTTCGAGTGAAAGAAAGAACGGCAAAGGAGCAGAGATTGCCAACTCGATCCATGTAAATCCACAGATACAAGAGGACATCTTTCGGGCTGCCAGGAAGGCTTATCTGTCATTTCTACCCAAAGTGCAGTCGGACATGCGGGTAGATACTCCTCACTTATAAATTATGGATGGTCGTGGAGGGTGTAGCGAAAATCTTTTAAGCTGCGGCGGTGGCGAAACCGTGTGAGATAAAAGAAGAAAGGAAAGAAAGGAAAATAAAAAAATGGGACGATACTCGAACGGCAATAGCCAGAAAGTGGAGTTTTCGCTCGTTTCCACTTTTAACAGTCTTTGCCAGTGATTCCGAGCAAACAAGCAGTTTGTTCTTTTATTCCAAGCTCGATGCAACGAGCCGATAACTGAACAGTCAAGATACAGACCGGAGGAGAAGGGAAAATGTGTGAGAAAGCGCCGTACTCCATTAACTGGTAGTGCTCCTCTTGGCTGCACCTGGTTGTGTACTCTGATAAAATCTCGTCAGTCTCCTATTTCTGTGCCCTTTCTTTTTCCACGTCAAAACCTATGGAACTAGGTCCATTTTACTAATGACGCTCACCTATTGCTCGAGTTTCGACGCCAACTTGGTCTGATAGAATTATGCAAATTCCCTCTTCCTTCTCTTGTACTAAAATTCACCGCAGCGGTTCCGTCACTGCACAACGCGCATTCCCACCTTATATATTCTTAGGTCAGAACAATATCGATTGAATTGCTAAGTGGTCTGAAAAGGAAACAGTTTCTGACCATTCGCTTAGAATTTCTGCCTAGAAAAACGAGTTGCTCTGATTTCTCCCCTGTCCATTTACACGATAAGTATGCGCGCCCGTTTTTACTTTCTTTCTGATAAATCATTTTTTTATGGAACTGCGCTCACTTTTATTCTTCTTCCAGTAAGAAAACACACAAATGCACGCATCCATTTTATTTAGGAAAATATATCTATACTATAAACAAACATAGAAACGGTCCATTTTTATCACTTTACAATAACCGTAATGGGGGGATGAGCTTAGAAAAAGCTGGATACTTTAAAAAAATGAAAGAGTACCGAGTACTGAAAACACCGTATTCTTTATTTACAAAGTCTTTTCTGACCGTTAACTGTAGCCATATTTTTATCTTTATACTGTCCAATTAATTATAAGCGTAGGTGACTAAGGCTTGGTTCTAACGCCACTTTTATCAATCGTAGGGGGGTTTGGCATGTAAATTTTTCTCGGAACAAAATCGATGAATCGATTTGCACCAACTTCTTTACGAACTTAAACGATTTAGCAAGAAGAAAAAACAAGAGTAATGCAGATTGAAGGAAGTCCACTTATTAAAAAAATTGATTTTTAATTGGATAATAAAAATAATACTGGCCTATTACTACAGTAATAACAACCATCGAGAAAATTTCATTAGGATCTGGCAAAATTGAATTGAATCTTTGGCCATTTAATGTTTTAAGAGGGGGGAGGGAGAAGGCGATTTGTAGCCTATACAAGAGCGAGGAAAACTTGTTCAAAAAATCGTTTTCCTCTTTGTTATTATTATTAAAGTTGTATGCAGTCGACTACCGTTTCGCCGTAAGTCTGAGGATCAAGGGCACGTTTGGTTATTTAGATAATAAAATGGTCCGACTTTCGATCGGTAAACATAAATTGGTAGAGCAACACCGGGTTACGGTTTGCAATCAATAAATCTACTTGACAGATCGTTAGGATGGAGTAAAATTGCAAGTGGAACCTTGGCTCCGGAGATGGGGAACCCGAGACCCGTACCGTTTTCCATCCAAAACTGATTAATGGCTCTCTATAACCCACGTTACGGATCGGTCTCAAAATGGCTCGCCATCTTATTATAACAGTCTGCCGAAGAAATATCACCTACCTGGTCAGGTGTGGACGAACTGTCTGAACTATTGTGTCCCATTGTGTCGGGATTTCCCCTGCCTCCACCTCCTCCACCATTGCTTCCAATGTTGCCACTCCCACCGTTACTATTGTTATTGTTATCACCCAGATCGCCGGGTTTACTGTCCCTTTCGTCGATGACCAGGTCAATTGGCATCTTACCCTTTAGGCAGCTGATGTACCTTTGACAGAAATTATCGCACAATTCGTGTACCTGAAATCAACATAAAGATATAACACCAAAGAAACAAATTCAATTCAAACGACAACACTATTTACATGCAATTCACCTTTCTCCCCTTCTAGACGACTTAATGTAAACAAACTATACTCGGCCCACCCAGAAAGGCCATTTTTCTCAGCGTTAATACACTCCACTGTACTAGTTACTAGTTTAAATTTAGTGTATTGTGGGACTAAAAACTACTCTACCCTAGGCCTGAAGATTTAAAGAGCGGCCTAGAGATACGGGAAAACTTATTAAAGCGGGATAACGAGAAGCAATAAAACTCCAAATGGCAATATTAACCAAACGATTGACATTGTCGCGTTATTTGGTTTCTCCATAAATAATAACGACACTACGTCGATACTCGTACCCTTCGTCAACCTGCTAGACATTAACTTCCGAGGCCTTCAGGCCAGAATAATTAAGCATAATTAACTAAATATGGTCGATTCCGCTTTAGGAATTTCGGGAATTTTTATTTAAGATTGAATAGCGTGGGACTCTTTCGTTTTGCTAATTACGGTAACCCCCCCCCTTTTTTTTAAATTTTTAATTAATTGCCTGATGTTTCGCATAGTTCTTGAATTTGATGTTGGTGCCGGGGGATCTTGAGCGAAGATAAGCTTGAGAAGACGTAAAAATCAGGCCTCTAGCCTTAAAAAAAATATATATATATATATATCCGCGACTTGTTAAATATGCAAAAGACATGGAGGGGGGTTGAGTGACCGATGGTGGAAAGCTATCCTGCTGTAATAATACGTAAAAATATCGCGTTTCAGGTATCCAGGTCACTAAAAATAGGGGAAAGGTTTAAAATAACTTTAAAAATGCAAGATTGACTGGAGAAAAAAAGGAAAAAAAAAAGATTTTTAGCCTGATTCCTATTAAAACGGACAGGGTGTTCGGAGGAGGGGGTTACCATTCGATTTTGCTGCTAAACTTGCCTGAAAAAAACAATTTCTTCTTTAAAGGGCCTGAATTTATCGATTGAGATAAAGTGCCAAAACTTAACCCACGAATTTCAGTCCTATCGGCTAACGATACACCTTTTTATTTATAGGGCATTCCTGAGGAGGAGATGAACCCAATTTAGGGCAATGCAGAATCCGAGCTAAACTTAGGCCTATGGGAGAGATAGCGAGGCGAGTCCTCACTCACGTGGGATTACTTAAAAACGATAGAAGAGTAAATTTCGAGAACCATTGACACGGGATCGTGACAAAATTAGGTATTTTTGACAGGTTAAAAATTGCCAAAGATAATGTTGCGAGGAAGAAGTAAAAAAAAAAAAGAAGAAAAATACAAGCGAGAAGGAAAGAAAGAAGAAGAAATTCCGATGTTTGGAATTCAAAAATCGAAGTTGAGAATTTAAAAAATATGCAAAACAGAATTCCTATTTGGCAAATCTTGTGAATTTCTAGAGGCACATTTTTTAAACAATGTGTGGAAGATAAGATCAGGAAATGTTCGAGGGTGAGGCAAGGCGTGGAGGAATGTGACTAATATGCCAGTAGGAAATTTTGAGAAGAAGAAGAAGAAGGAGAAAAAAAAAAGGAGCAGCAATAAACACTAAATGAAGTGATAATCCTCTAACGTTAATAATTATTATGGGAATTAGAAATCGAATCGAAAGGAGAAGCGACTCGTACACAATTGCAACAAACTATAAAAATAATTTAGTGATACAGTTTGTTGCTTCACACCCACCTTGAAAGTTTCAAGAGTGAAAGTGCATTTTGCACCCATCAATAATGCGTTAAGGCAAGTGAGTGAGTGAGTGAACAATCCGACACTTCCATTCTGCGGATTAATTATTTCTTACCATCTTCCCCACTCGTTGAAACCTTACTCTTAGAGGTGAACACAAACTATAAAAGTTAGAAAATCTGAAGAAAGAGTTAATTTCTTTTTTAAAAAAATATAAGAAAGGAGGTCGATCCGCGGTCACAAAAATCGCTTTGCGAATCGTTTTTCGACCTCTTTTACTCTCTCGTTTATTGTTAGTGGCAGTAGATAAAACGCTATTTAGTCTCGCTGCTCGTACAAAGTGATAAAATTATCTCATTTTTATTATGGTTGTAATCATTGTATCCTCGGAGATAGCGTGAAAATGAAATGTTTATTTATGCGCAGCTCGACAATAAAAGCCAGAAAGAAAAACAAGCGATAAAAGGTTGTAAAATTCCAAATAATAATAATAAAAAAAAAAAAAAATGAAAACCCTCAACCGGAATCGTCATAAATAAATAATTATTAAAGTCCGGGATTTATATTGTATCACGCCAGTTTTAAAAACCTATCGTCTTACCTTTTCCAGTTCAAGCAGGTGAAATCTCAGCACCTGGATCGCTTGTACCATCTGAGACAATAGAAAGAGAAAGCACTGTTTTTAGCCATCCCCATGTCCAAACAAATATAAACATCCCATCTCGTATATTTTCGACCCCTTTCTAACACATAAAAAATAATAATAAAACAAGATATATATTGTACATACTGACCAAAAGGTAAATACTTACAAGGCTATCTAATTCTGGATTTGGTACGTAATAAGGTTTTTCTTGCCTAATCTGTAAAATTAAAGAAGGAAAAGGTAAATGAGGATATACTTACAAGAGCGTCTAAGTCTTCATCTGATGTATATTGCGGGTTTTCTGTCATTATCTGAAAGTGAAGGACACAAAAAAAAGTAAACCTTGCCAGAAAGAATCAACTAAGGTTAGATTTTTCATCTACACAAAGCATTTTTATATTGTATACAAGCTAGAGGTGCGAGCTGTACGGTAGCCTTCGGACGGGAACCTACCATTCCCAATCGGGACGCTCTCCCCCCCCTTTCCATAAACCAAAACATTGTTTATGTCGCCGTAGAACGTTTGCCTTCGTTCGGGCCTAAAACGTGGCACCATTTAGTAGTATTCGGGTGCATATTTTCCGGGCGAAAATCGATTTCCGACTCCGAACGATCTTCTATATATAAGTGGCGAGCGTCAGCCACCCCCCCCCATTTACGAGTTACTAGCTCCGTTTTGCGGGAGATAGCAACAAAGTGGAAAGTGTTCTTCCGTCACCTTAACATAACAATTGCTTCCAGCCGGGCAAACATCTGCTTTCCGTGTTTTTTTTTTCACCCCCTCTTCTCTCGACATTGGGAAAAGATGAGGTTTCCGTCCGTGGCAGAGAGTGAGAGAGAGATAGACAGAGAGTGAGAGAGAGAGAGAAAAAGATATAGATTTGAAGAGGAACCTGTTTGGCAAAGACAGCAATGTCTTCGTTGAAAGACTCCGAGGAACAAACATCTCCACCAGCAATGCCGGGCTCCCTCGGTGTGCAGGTCGCCAACTCGCACTTTTCGAATATGAGGGCCAGCAATGGGAACAGAGGATGGCTAGGGAGAACAAAAGTTAGATTCAGTGGCCCGCAGCTGTGGGTCGGTCGGGAGCGCACACACTTTTCTATCGTCTGTTGTCCCGTTAGAGTTTGGGGCGGCTGTTGACGGTGTTATGGGTCGCTGCTCCCGTTCGTTCGTGAATGACTCGTATACGTTTGTGTTATGCTAATCTTTTTTCTTCTAGGAATGCGCAGATCAAGTCCCGCTTTCCACAATTCAAACTTTTGGAAAGTTTCTTTCGAAGCGTGTCGTTCCTTCCGTTGTGCCACACCAAACAGGTTTGTGGCCCGGAGGCAAACCCACTGGCTAAAACCCAACGTAACGCGATAACACAGGCGAGACGAAATAATAAACGGAAAGGAAATTGTATTATATATACGTACACATTAAAAAAAAAAAAAAGGAATAAAAACTCTGACGTTTTCAATGGAAACGATAGGAAAGTGTGCTTGTCCCGTAACAGAAGTTTGAAATCTCATTACAATATTAATCTTAGATAAATAGTGAAAACATCGTCGACTGTGACCTGTCACCAACTGTCGTCGAGCAAGACAAATTTGCCAAACATATGAACCACGGACATGTCACAGTTAAGTGAACTGTCAACTATTGTCAACGCGCAGAACGCTTGAATTTCTACCTTCATTGATCACAATAACACGTGCTACGTCAAAAGAAGTGACAAACGCAACTCACCCATATATAGCATCCTTGTCCCTCTTGTGGACATCTGGCACTGACCCCATGATATGGTTCGACATCACCCCAGACACGTGATTTCCATGGTATTGGTGCATTGTAGGCGCGTGATTCATGTGCGGTGCATGGGTTAAAGTTTGCATGGACCGGTGGGGATCGTATAAAGAGGCTGGCCCATCCATAGCACCATAGTGGGGTATGCCGTCATCATACTGAGGAGAGAACATGATGTTAGATTGGGACGGTCGAATCGTTAATGACACGTCAGGTGGCCCGTCACTTACCCTCTGTGCCATGTTCTAAGTTCCCCGTCGCCGATTGCACGTCATCAGGTCTTAGCGCCTGTCTGTCACTGGCAGCGAGCATGTAGCCCAACTGAGCTCGTCCTTCACTCACGCCATCCCAACTGCCGGCCTCAACCATTCCGCTTCGAGGGGAGAATCGGCGCTGACGTCGCGACGCGCCGATCACGAGGGGCAACGCGCGGGGAGGATCGCCTTTTAATCCCGTCGCCCTCCCCCCCCTCGACATACGTCGTGTTTGTTGTGGCTAGGAAATTAAAAACCAGTAAAAACCTTCCCGAACTCCAGGTCTTCCAAGCACGATAGGAAGAAGAGAAGGAAAAACTGGACTAGGGCGTGTTTACGTAATTTATGACCGCATAAAGAGTGTAATGCAACGTTGTAAAACTCGAACGTACGTAGTGATAATTCTCTAACTATCTCGTCCAATAGCACTAACCATAGACAGAAATGCCCGTTAATTCTAATGCCCGGACTCTCTTTCTTAATGACGTCATCCAGTGACGGTGGGGTGGTGGGCGTCTGCCATAAGCTAAAAAAGGGGAGGGGGGCAAATATAATAGAGGCCCGCTTGTGTCGTCTCACCTAAGTGCCGGCCTCAAGTACTGTACTTAAGCTGCTAACGGACGGCTTCCCACTATTACAACCTACTTGAAATGCTAAGGTTAATGGTTCGATGACAGTCGGACGGTAACAGGCCGTCCCTTACCCCGTCATTACTCCCACTTTCCAGACGCGAATTTTGACAAAATGGCAACCTGCGGCGTTTTCTTCTCCATTGTGCCAACCCCCATTCAACTTCACAATAGCAAAAAGGAAACACAAACGTCGCGCGGAAACACCAACACCCCCCCCTCGAAATCTCATATATTTATTTATTTATTTCCCTGGCGGAGTTTTGAGGCTCCGAAATTCCACAAAACCAATCTTTTTCCTCTCCACTTTGTAACGTCCACAGGTAGAAGAAAGGAGCCGAAAGGAATCGACAAACTCTAAGGGCGTCGACGACGTACGCACACCCCGAACGCGCCGGCATCACCATTGGTTAAAAAGTTTAAGGGGAGGAGTTATAAAATCGACCAATAGCGAGGCGTGCCGAGATACGTCGCTGTTGCTTTCGAGCGAACTGCACACAATGGATTTCTTTATTTAATTCGTGCTTAAGCGCCATTTAAAATTAATCTCTACCCCCGATTATATAAACGCCGGTGAGTTGATTTTGATTATTTGCCTTCTTCCGTGACGTCATAAGTACTATTTACTTTCACTGTCTGTGGCGTCGCTTTACGTACCCGATAATAATTGTCGCTTTTATTCCTTAAAGAAGAAGAATGCCCCACCTCCACCCGTATTAATTTTTATCATTAAGATAACCGTTGTCTGGGGGGGGAATGGATATTGTTGTTGCATGTTAACGAGTTGGCGTCACGAAATCACTCGGAGGGTTGCTGCACCTGTCGTCTATATTCTCACTTTCGACCGACAGCGATTTTTCCTATGAAACATGTCTGGTCTGTCGAGGATGCACGTTGTTGGGTTCGTGATACGAATGCCGACGAAGGTTTTGTCTGCCCCGCCACGCCCTATCTCCGACCTCTAATAAAGAGAACATTATGTAAACAGGGGGTTGAGTGGACGAATGGTCATCAAATCGCCGCGCCCCTTCCACCAACTATTATTGATGATTTATCATTTTACTAACGTCGAATTAATAAAAATGCTTCGGGCTATTTTCTCGTTTGCCCCTTCTCTTAAATAGTATAATTTTAATCTTCGACACCTGAAAAAATTATTATTATTATTATTTTTTTTTAATCTTCTACCCCCTTTTTTTTATCTCGAATTTTTTAAAAGTTCCAGCATATACTTCGATGCTGGAAGGTAAAAAATGTTCATATTTCTACCTCCTTTTTCTTTTTTACCCTATCGAATTAATAAAGTGCCTCGGGTTATTTCCTCATTTGCCTCACGCTTATCTTAATTATGAATATTTATAAATTTTTTTGCTAAATTTGGCTTCGGAATCTTCAAAAATTCGATTTTTCTCCTGTATTAAAATCCATCTTGGCTTAAATTCCTCCTGAAGGAAGGATTCAGAAGGAAGGATTCAGGAGGAAGGATTCAGGAGGAATTTAAAATCCTCAAGTAAAACTGGAGGATTTTAAAATCCTCCTGAAATTTTAAGCCAATTTAAAATCCTCCTGAAATTTTAAGCCAATTTAAAATCCTCCAGTTAAATTTAAGCCAATTTAAAATCCTCCAGTTTTTTACTGGAGGATTTTAAATTCCTCCCATTTCAGCGATTTAAACTCCTTCTATCCTTTAAAAAATTAAATTAATCCTTTGATTTTTTTACGAAAATTTAGAACTTTTAAAGCTGTAATACTCCAACAAATGTATTTTTTTTTTATTGGGGCCAAAAATTTATCACGTAAATGCGCCCGCCAAGTTCAGTTTCCGAACAATCGACTGGTAGAGAACACACAAAACATGTCTGACGTCACAACCGATCGGTGTGGTCCGTGCTCAGGTAATTACCTTAGTAAGAAGATGAATGGCGCAGTTAAAGGATGCACTGGATGCTGTCACTATTCACGAGAGACACAAATGACTGCAACCAAATTAGGCCTACCTGCTTGTTTCTTGTCGTCTATCAGATTAAGTTTAGCTACTGTCCAGTCCCGTAATTCAATTAGCAGATGCCGTGTGTGCCACACTCTTTCGAAACAATGCAGTAATTAGTGTAATGTCCAGGACCAGTCTATCACTCTTCGTTCAACGAACTAATTATCTTAACGGCTTTTATCCCGAGTCACGTGCAATCTGTATATTTTGCTTTTCCGTCGCGCATCCCCCTGCCCTTTTCCTACCATCCACACACATACATACACACACACACACTGCAAGTAAATTGAGGAGTTTTAGTCGTCGACACGCTTCCTAATTATGTAAGGGCACGTAGTTGGACGAAAGGGGGAGGGGGGTTGTTCCACTCTTACGAAATTCCCAAAAGATGGAACCATCTACTATACCAAAAAATTCGTCAAACACATGTGAAAACCGGTAGGGAATTTGTTGAAATTTGGAGAAATTCGAAGTATTTCCTGTAGCAGAAAAGATGTGTTTACGAGGTTTAAGCCCCTTTCCCACGTGGTTTAAAAAATTTCGGGGTGGATGCAGTTTCGTGGTAAATCGCTCACTTAAATTACTTCTCGTGTAATTTAACACCCGCGTAATTTAAGTAATCGTTTTACAAACTTCGTGATTGACTCGAAAGACTATTTTAGCTAAGCTTCTTCTTCTTCTCCTCCATTTTTTTTTTTTTTTTTTTTTTTTAAATCAAGTTTTTCCTTTCCTTTTATTCAATACTTTTTTTTTTTTTCCCCCCTTTTTTTTTTTTTTTTTTTTTATTTTGGCCAATAGGTAGCACTTTTTTTTTAAAACAAAGCGCCATCTGTTATCCGCATAGAGAAGTAATAAATCTTTAATTTACTTAAAAAATGCAACAAAATCTCTTCTTTAAATAACAATGTAAGGAAAGGGGATAAAAACGAGTCGAACTCAATAAAAAATATATATATTTTAAAAATAATTACTATCGTCGTCTTTTCTGGAAATATTAAAACTATAATTAAGGGCGACACACGGCGGTGAAAAAGTTTATATTTTTATATTGGCATATTATCATTGAAATCGAATCCGGTCTCACCTCTCTGCCAAACGAGCATTAAACGGGATCGGCTATTTTATTTTATTTTATTTTATTTTTTTCTCCCTTGTATTCTATGGACGTGGTAGAATTAACGTAGAAGCGCGAAGGGAAAAGGAACACGACGTAAATTACATCCAATCATAACGCTGTAGCGTTTGTGCAGAAACAAACCTAGCTATTACAGTAGAGGTCTTGGCAATGCGCCCTGTAATCGCCCTGGTGCATCATGGGAGGGGTCAATGGGATTGTTATGCGATTAAAGTTGAACAGAACGAGCGTGACGCATAGTTGAAACCAAAGCGGCACGTTCGACGGATAATTACAGGTGTTCTCGATCCCTTGTAGAACTCGTACGTTGTTATATTTAAAGAGTTGTAAGTGATGTTAGGAGGACCTTCCGAAAGCGAAGGTGACGGAATTTTATATACACATATAAGCTTTAATTAGGGTATCGGTTACTTGGTCTCATTTTAAATTCAATTTAGTCGCCGGTTGCAGACGTCTACGGAAATATTATTCGTGTGTTTATACAACAAATGACGATTAGTATAGTTATTGATGTCATTAATGCGTTGTAAGTGGTTAGTCCCGAGGCAAGGTTTCCTTTCGCTCCATTTGTCCTTGACAAGTGCATTGATTCCTTCGAGTAAATAAAAGGAGGATCGTTTTGGTCATCAAGCTTGTAGTTTGGCAGCAGCGATGACAAAAGCCGGCCACGTATCTATCTACGTTTTATAATTACAAATTCGGACGCCGTTATCTGTTTCTTCTTTCTCTCTCTCTTTTTTTTTTTTTAACAGTTATTATCCCTGGACGCCATTAGTTATTCTCTACGGAAGACGGCCGTAGGGCTCGATTTTACACCCCTCTAGCTCGGGAAAATCCCCCAATGAGAGCGAATGGAGTTTTGTTTTAATGTATGCACGCCTCTCGTGATGCCATTTACGTAGAGCTTTTGTACCCCCCCTCCCGGCTGATGGAGGTTGGCTTGTATTGAATATGTCGAATTCGGTGTAATGGCAAGAAAATTACAGAGCTGGCTGCTAGCAAGGTATGCAGTTAATTTCACGCAACCTAATTCAAGGTTGGGGTGATTTTGACAACGTGGTATTAGTCTGGCAACAGGTGGGCAGTCGAAGGTGCCTCCTACGGGCAGTTTGGGAACCTTCTGATGACAGTGTTCCATCCTGTACCGTTGTGTTTATGGTAAATGCAAGGACTTTAATACTATACCCTCTTAATGCCGCACCACTAGAAAAGCATCCGTCCCTAATGTATTGTTGAAAGGCTGGAACTATGTAGGAGGAGAGGCATTGTTGTACTGATTATCTACCCTGACTCGTCCTCAATTGATATTTAACAATTTAATCACAATTTACTCGGTTGTTAATGCTTTTTAGTCGAATTTGCCTCCAACCTATGATTTATTTTACACAGTTATTATCTTCTTTGTGAAAAACGATAGAAGAATTAAATATTTTCGGATTAATTATAACTTTATGA